GTGTGGAAGCACCAGTCCTCACCACACCCGGTCAAATTCAGCCTGCTGCGGCAGCAGCAGCAGGAATTGAATGGCTGCCGCAGCACAATTCAGAAACATGTATGAGTTTCCTGCGATGGGTTGCGGCCACTACAAGAAAACTGGGCGTTAGACCTGCCTGCGGACGTTAGAATTACCATCATGTGCAAGTTCTTTGAATGTTTTAAGACGCAGGAGGCTTGCACGCCGGTTCTAGTGGCACACCTGTGTGTCAGTTTTCTCAGAAGTCTTGGTCCGTGATGAGCTTTCGGTGTAGTGTGATGTTTGCCTCCCGGATTTGCTGCCCGTTACCATCGGAGCTAACGTGGTTGCTATATGGTCATGATGGTCTAGTGGCACCTCAGGAACCTCCGGTTAATAGTCTCAAATTTGGGAGGTCAGAGACGGAGCAGCACGAAAAAGTCCAGGCATCTTGTTGAGTTCGCGCTTGCCATTAGCCCTGCAAAACTCGCAATCCAGCTGCTCTTCACGATGGATTGTTCAGCGTCGGCACAAAAACTGGAAGGCCGTTGATTTTGTCTGGAAACCCAGAAGGCGCCGTCTCTCGCGCATTGGTAGTATGATACTGCCTAGACAGTTCTCCGCGAGGTCTTCTGGAGGCTGGTGTAGAAACCGTACTGTGCAGGAAGCTGCGCGATGCCGCTTGAGTTCATTCATTGCGTAGACGATTGAGCCGCGCGACCGACCCGGGCGCACCTGCAAACCGACAGTTACCAAAAGCGTGCGCACTTTCCAGGTTCGAGAGTTCGAATGGTGACAGTTTTGCCACCAAGCAGTAAACCCACTAAAGCCGCACACTGTTTAATCTTCACCTTCCCTTAAGAATAGGGCCCCTAGAAAACTGAGAATTAGGCGTATTCAATCAGGCTCCTATGGCAGGCGGTGCTGGGGATTACATTGAAGGCGATGGTCTGGATTCGGTTTGGGCACCAAACCAAAACACATTGAAAAGGGGTCTTCCCAACAGTGGCCCAAAACTGAAAAAGCGGTGGTCAAGACACGTTGAACCATGTCTTTTCACTAAACGCGGTGCAACATAAATCCACTTGCGAGGTTTTCGGTCGGAGTTAGCAAGTCGGAAGCGAAGAGACGCAGTTTTTGCTTTGTCAAGGAGCAGCCTGCGCTGAAGTCCTTGGCTGTTGGCCGGCACCTGGCTTCATAAACAACAGACGGGTCCTGGCCCCCTTGACACTACTTTCTGCCTTCAACAAATCGTGGAATGCAGTGGAGCAACTAGGTGATGGCCCGCACAAGCGTTTGCCTGCAGCAACATCATTGTCGTCAGCAAGTGCAGGGTCGCCAGATCTGAAAGAAAGTTGATTTAGAGGCTTGCTTCAGATGCTGTACTAACTGTACAAGTCTTAAGCATGTGGAGATCCCAGAATCTGTGGCCAACATTCCGGCTGGTGCCTTCACGTGGTGCCAAAACTAAGTTCTCCAAATTTGCTTGTCCTGTTCCAGACACCATAGCCTGCAAAAATGTTCCGGTTTGGGATGCAGCATTAGTCCAACCGCCCACTGCCTTCAGAACGAGAACGTTGCCCAGCCCTGCAGGATGGTGGCAGCCCGGGCACTTCCAGCGACACTTCGGTCCTGAGTCAGCCTGTGAAAGGCTCTTCGCTACAAAGCTAAAAGCCCAGCGCCTGAGCTGAAAGCCAGCCGTAGAAGAGCAGGGTTTTGTGAGGAAGAACATCTGCCAGTTTTCTGTGCCACCAGAAAACCACTACCTAAACAGCCAGTTTGGAGTGCGCTGTTTTCAGATGTTGGAAATGAAGACGGAGCCGTACAAGTGCGGCGGCCACAGTGCAGCTCGTTCTTGCCTTCCAGGACTTGCAAGACGACATCCGCAGTTTCGACCCCGCAGCCATGGTGCCATCTTCTTCGGGTGTACCCTGTGTGTAAGTGCTGGAAACTGCTGGAGCAATCAAATCTTAACACAGAAGCTGGTGGTCTCTGCCTTGAGGGAACAATAACTGGGGCAAGCCACACCCTGGAGGCACGCTGAAAACAAGGTCTTGGAACTCTCAATTACCAATGGATTGCCTGCATTCTTGCAAGCACTTTAAGAATATCGTTTCAGTCACTGGGATGAGAGGTTGTGTCAAAGAATTGGTGTCACTGATTACTTTTCGCATTTGTTGTTTGCCAACAGATGTTATTGAAAGCCTGGGCCGCAAGCATGTGAGAAGGATATGCCTATACAGACGCAGCGCCCATGTTTGCTGTGGTGCCGATGCTCCGTGAGCTGCGCTTGCAGGGGCCTGCAGGTCTGAGAATGACCGTAAAGAATCCTTAGCCAGGGCCTACCCTCACCGTCCGAGAGCTTGGCTTCTCTCCCTAAGAGCTCAAGCTGCTTAAGAACTGCTCCAAGCCACTGACATCCTTCTTCCTTGTAAAGCCCAAAGACATACTTTGGAACAACCCCATTGCGGAGCAGCGGAGGATACAAATTGCTGCGTGCTCAGAAGAGCATGTGTGGTTCTGTGTCTGCTTAGTGGACACCTTTGGGTGCTGAAGCAGGAATGTCGGGGCGTGAGCCTAGCCCTTACCCGTTTCTTTTCGGTTTTAGCATACAACTTGTTCAAACTCTGGCCTCGGTAGCGTAACAGGAAAGGAGACGGTAATCAACAGTCGATTTTTTTCTGCAAGGGATTTTCGACCAAGAGGTGTGTAAATATTTTTGCAACAAATTTTAGGCTTCATGATGCAGGGCCGGGTACTTGAATCTTTTAGTTAGCACAGCGCTTGTTTTGGCTTGACTGCTTCTATGAACCTGTCGAATTCTAAAATGCAGGTTTTTCAGTGCATGTCTGCAAACTTTGGTGTTTCACAAGGCCTTCAAAGTTAGGAGGCTAATCTTTCTGACAGCTCTGAATTGTCATGGTGCCGCCTGCTTGCAGTATTTACCAGTGAGGATGTGCTGCGCTCGTGCCATTGATCTCTATCTTTTTACGGCTTCCCTGTCTGATTCTGCTGATTTCGACATGTTTACGGTCAGCAGACTGTACTCATGGCTCGAACTCCTTAATTCCCAGTCAGAGTCCTGAAGTGGCAGGTGCAGGGGTAGGGTTAGGATTCGGGGGGTTTAGGGTTTAGGGAAGGGGTTTTAGGCGATTCCCTCTCCCAGGGTTATATACGGTCACTTAGGGGTCATAAGTAGTTGGTTGTCGCGCCTCTTGCGGGATCACACATAGGAAGATGTTGTATTCCAACCTCTAGTGAAGCCCTTAATCACAGAATCTGAACCTTGAATCCTAGTCCGAGAATCACCAGAGTATTGCTCCAAGAGAATCACCAGAGTATTTCTCCAAAATCCCAACACCGATTTCCAAGCAGCAAAAAGGTCCTGGGAAACCAAACAGGACATTATGACAGCAAGGGGACACTCTGAGAAATGAGACCCTGTTCGGAGTTCAGCATCTATCCTTAAGCCAAGAATTTTTGTACTGGACTATAATATATAACTTGTATATAACCTGGGTTTTCTACGTACCTAGTACTAGACACAATCCCTGGACTCTAAACCCTGAACCCTTTAGCATTGGCAAGCGCTTGTTGGTGAGGCATGTGAGAAGGTCGAGGCCCCAATTGGGCACCTGCTTGCAACGTGGGGTTTGGGGTTGTTCATAGTACTACCCACCAAAAACACTTGGAGGTTCAAATGGGACACATAACGGAATATGAAGCTGAGACTGGGCTTATGTAGGGATTTCTTATGTAGGGGATTGTTCTTTGAGTTAGGTAGACACGCTACGAAGCACGCGTGTGCAATAGCCACATAATAGCCATTCTTATGTGAGATTTAGGAAGTTACCTTCATATGAATTGCGGTTGTTCACCTGGTGAGTTAAGGGTTTGGGGCTCTCAAAGTCAGGACTTGCTTCGAGGTGTTCATACGGATTACATGCCATAGGCTTGCTTAAGAATTGTACGGGGCGTTCTCCAAGCAGCGTAGCCCTAGGGATCGGAGGGACAGTTGCGGCTGCAGCTTCGCAATGGGTTGGAGAAAAAGCACACCTCCGCGGATACTTGCATGAATGCCCCATGCGGGTCCGGTGCATGTTTGGCTGGGTTGCAGCTTCCTCAGCGTTTTTTATTTGGTGCAAAATGTCTGATCTACGATTATGGGAGGGAAAGCTTGGGCCGGTTCAGGAAGGCGTGCCGATGCAAGCAGTCAACCTGCTGATTGACTCACAAATCGCCGAGCCAGGACTACTTCCAACAAGCCCGGCATATGGTCCAGACTCGGTTGCCGTGCCCCAGCCAATGCCCTTAAGGAAGCATCAGACATTTGCCATAATCTTGGCCATGCAGCGTTCAGGAACAAGCCTTTTAACAGTAGAGTTGAGCCGTCACCCTTGCATCAGCATGCAGTCAGAGCTGTTTGTACAAGGCTCCTGGAACCCGAAGCTGCAAAAGCAAGTTGTGGAAGTGTTCTTTGGTACGAGAGTCAGTGATGTTCAGATGCTGGTGCTTCCCAACATCACCCAAGACATTCTCAAAAAGTCAAGGCAAGCTGTCGAAGAGGGTGCAGCGGTCCAGGGATTTAACTGGAAGCTGAACCAAGATTTCATCCCATGTTGGCACACGTGGCTTGGAGATTGGGCTGCGCATCACGGTGTTCGCCTCATTTGGGTCCAGCGGATAAATCTGCTACGTCGGATTTTCTCTAATCATGCCAACAAGCAGACTGGAGTGGCCGTCACCACAAACAAAAGCCAGGCCAAGACTGTGGGGTCTGTGCAAATATCGATGAATACATCCAACATCCTCAAAGAGCTGGCCAAAGACGAGCTGAACATCAAGGCAGTAAAGGCAATACTTGCCGACGCACGCAGGAAGGGTGTGCAGGTTCAGACTGTGTATTACGAGAACATGACTGAGAGCCTCGATGTGGTCAGAAGGTTTTTGCTGCAGAATTCTTCCTGTACTTCACGCGGCCGCGCTGCATTGAAGCAGCGTTCAGGCTACAGCAAGATTCATGCAGCCAAGCTGAAATATCTGGTTCGAAATTGGGAGCAACTACGGAAAACTCTGCGCCATACATCCTGGGAGTGGATGCTATCGACATAGACCAGCACACTTCTGGACAGCAGGTGCCTGGAAGGAAACAAGCTGGTGGTCTGATGCCTGTAGGTAAGTTGATCAGCTCTGCCTTTGGTTGTGGGAAATTGTTGCGGCCTTCGGCTTTTGCTTAAGAGTGGAGGGGTAGGGCAGTCAGGAGATTAGCGTCGCGCCTTCCCAGGCATGCGCAACGCAGATGGCTCAGAGTTGCATACTAGAACTTCGCATTCTAGAGGTTCTGTCAAGTACCAGGAGCTCAGCTGGCCTAAGGTTTCAGCAGTAGAGGCCATTGACCACATGTTTTGTGCCAGTGACGTTCTTCTGATTCATACAGCTTTCCCGTGACCGGTGGCTTGCAATGCCATGTTGATATTTGCTAACCTGAACAAATTGCAGCTGGTTCTTGCCAGAACAAGTCGATGGAATTGCATGTCATTTTGGGCGTGTATTTGCTGCCTACAACTTGTGTGACAGGTTCCATTTGTCTCTGTTCCTGTATTTCTCGAAAGCTGTCTTTCGCTTTGACCATGATTCGCCAAGGACGTTGCCATGGTCCTGAGATACCTGGCCATTGTGGCGTCGGCCTCTGCATGCACACGAACGTCCCAACATCATGTTGCAAAAATGACTTGGTCAGCTTTCTGCAAGAAACAAACTGAGGCAGTCGCAGCAGCAGAGGCGAGGTATATTCTCATCTTTGCTGCATGCATGGTTGCCCGTCCGTTCGCTGTACCTGCGCAATCATTTCTTGAGTGCTCCGGCTTCCTTTGAACACTGAATTGCACATCAACACTATCGAAGTGCCCCTTCTTCACGTCTCAGGATGCCAGAAGACTCAAGTTCACGTTCGGTGATGTGTCATACTCTTCCAACGGCGTGCCGCGGGCTCGGTGTTTCCCATCAGTGAGATGAAGCTTGACATCATGTTGTGGCAGAGCCATATACTTGAAAAGCCTCTGCGCTCCTGACTTTTGGACGAGCTCTGTGCCAGTTGGGATAGATAGCCAGGCATGGTGCTTATGAAGAAACAACCTGCTGCAATCTTGACTTGCATATCTTAATTCAGTCTGTTTTAAGGAGCAACAGTCCGTTTGGCCAAGTGAACACCGTGATGAACGAGGCTGGCGGGACTGTAGCGAGATGCTGAGGTGTGATATAAAATCACGGAGTAAGGCTTTAGTTGCACTTTTAGCCATTCGTACGGTGACGCTGCCTGCTGATAATGTGCTTGGATAGACCTGCTCTTCGAGGCAGAAAGCAAGATGGTCCAGCCTGGGCAAATGCCGCAAGATTCAGGCGCAATAGATGAGGAACAAGTCAACTTTTCCTTGCATCAGTTCATGTTCATCCACAGATTCGCTGCAGGCGATCCTTTTGAGTCCCTGAGCCCAAGCCTGAGAGAACCCCGGAATGCTTGTACCAACAGCGGTTTGGCTGAGTCAACATGAAGGTGTTGCCTCCAGAATGTCCACAGAGGTGACGACCCTTTTGGGGGCGACCCTTTCAGTGGCTTTGGAGCAACGCCCAAGCAGCAAGAGCCACCAAGCTGCAAGATTTTGCAGGGTTGTCTGAGTTGCTCAGAACGGGATGACGTCTAGTCTAAAGTCTAGGGAGCCACAATGTCTCGGTTTTTTCTATGAGCTACGCTTAGCGCGAGCCCGTGTAATTGCATCTGAATCTGCCCATATATTGACCGGCTATCTCGAGCCTTTAAGTTGCCTGCCACGTGCAGCGTGTGTGCCGCATGTCCGCAAGCCAAGGGCCAAGGGCTTTGCGCTCACTCCACAGGTGCGTGATTCTCAAAGTCAGATTTCAAGCAAATTCTTTAGATAATGGCTCCAGAGCTTTGCTATGCATGTATTGAGTTTGGC